ATCCGAGATAGATGTCTTTAACAGTAGAAGGATGAATGGATGGATGAATGACTGAATGCCTGGCTGGAGAATAAAGTAATTTTTATAGCACCATGACAGACTATTTGGGTTAATGAGGATTTAGGTGAATAGGTGCATGAGTTGAGAGATGAGCAACTGGATGGATCTAGAGACAGCTAAGTAGACGTAATTGAGAAGAGAGAATGGAAGAAGTTAAAATGACTGCTAGATCCTATGTGGCATTACAAAGGTGCAAATAGTCGATTAAATAGGAAAGCACTTTCAATGGTTATCTTTCCTTCCCCCACTCCCAGTACGGAGTTCAAGAGCCTTGTGCATCTCCGTCTAGACGGCAGTGTTTCGTTGGGTGCGCCGGAGGCCTTGATCTCTCTTCTCACTGCCGATCCTTCCTTCGATGCCCTCCTCCTCACCACCGCAGTCGGTGGCCTCGATTTCAATTTGACGGGCGCGGGCACGGTAATCCATGCCGCGACCTTTAGGCCAGCGTCACGTGGTCTCCATCTTCCGTCTCCTCACCCAGCGTGCGCCCTTATTTCTCAACCCAACAATCGGGTACTGGGAGAGATGGACACTAGTCGGATGATTCATAACATGGCGGCAGCAGTGAAAGGGGAAGGTGCATCAGCGCTGTCGGACAACGGCGGCGGTGGTAGTGGGGGAAAGGGACCGAGCTGGGGCGACGTGGAGGCAGGAGAGTATGCGGCGGAGTACGACATGCGCGAGTTCTTGGCTCGACTACCGCGAGATGGCTGTTAGGTGGACGGTTGAGTATTTGGATGGATGAGTATTGCATTTTTCCCTCCTTGTTGATGTCATTATTATCATTCACTTTCTGCCCCCTCTTCTCCTTTTGTCTGCCTATGTACGTATGTGAAGCAAATTTATTAAACCCTGTGTTATGCGAGACGACTTTATGTTAAACTCTGGCTCTCCCGATTTTAAAATCATGGAAGGAGCTGGCACCGTAGCATCAATTGGCGCAGTGGGAAGCGGTAGGCATGTTCTGTTTCTGGCATTCAGTGCACACGTCCCAACCCGCTTTAGCCTAGACTTTCAAGCAGGATAGTGCCTGCGTGTGTTCAAGAAACAATGTGTGGTGACGGACGAAGTTCCTTGTCGATGAAGGCTTAAAACTCGCATTCCCTGATATCTACTCGTATCTAAAGAAGGCGTTTAAATGGGTCAAACGTTCCACAGTCGACCATACATTAGGCGCTGACGGTAGGGGGATGAAAATTTATGCCCCTTTGCTGAGAACCAAACGCTTTCACTACGACGCCCAGAAATTCCCACTCAACGATGGAACTCTGCCATTCGAGAATAATTTTTGAAGACTTCAGAACATTTCTCGAAATGGACCCTCTTTAAATCCCCTCATTTGTTAATTTTGCTTAGGTGACACACTTTAAGGTAAATGTCACCTGAAAAGACCTAAATACGTGAGAGTCGTACCGGCTTCAAACACCCTAGTGCTCCGGAGAGGCAGAGGTGTACGCACACGCTGTATTCCGGTTGTCCCTAGGCTAGCGGCCTCCGTTCTGAGGTCATTACCTCTGATTATTCTTGTATGGAGCTTAGGAGGGTCTGTGCTAATGAGCATACTAGTTCATAAACTTCCCACGCGATGTTTAATTCGCCAGCTAAAGGAATAAACACCAAAGACAACATGCATACGAAGTTTTTGAGGTGCTCTGTAACATTCCAGCCATCCCTGAAAACATTATAAGGTGTACAGCTCTGGATTTAAATATAGAAAGCTGTCAACTGAAATGAATTAACGCTAAAATGCTGAACGGAGCCTGTGCAGATTAAAGGGACAGTAAAACTGTGATTTAGACGGAACGTTAGGCCATCAAAGTCACTACTAATGAAAAGTTAGCGTTGTTGCAAGTACCAACGGGAGAGAAACCGTCCTGGTGAGGTAACACCCCCCTCCCCAATCAAGACGATGACAATATCTAAACTTGAGGGAAAAAGTGGGGCACAGCACAGACTCCACTGACTGGTGTTGCCTTAGGCAGCTAATGTCATTAGCGTCACCGGAAGAAACTCGACATCTCTGACTACCAGCTAGTGTTTAGAAGATATGGTATATCCTTGATGCATTGCTAAAGGTGATTTACCATCGCCCCAAAGGAAATAACCACAACTGACATTCGCAATATGTTTAAGCGGTTTGCAACGGGCAAGTATCAACCTGATAGCTAATCCATTGATTATGAACAAGAACTCTCAGATGATTTAGCTGCGGGGAGTTGCTAACACAAAACTGCATTGTCCACGACTAACTTCTGGGTGACAACCCTGAAATAAAAGTGTGGGATCTCGATCTCACCCAAATGCCAACTGCCACTTTATCAACCGCATTAGGGGAGCATAAACTCAGACCATAATCACGGCAACCCGACCACCTTTCAAAAACAAAAAGGACGTTTTAAGGATTAAAACTTATATTCCAGCAAAATAATACAGTGAAACAGAATACAGAAACGGCATCAGATACCAGATTACCATATGCTTCTCAAAAATTTGGAAAAACCTCGCTGCAGTAATGCTAATACATATAAAATAACATTGAGCAATTTCCCTATTGATTAATTTCAGCGGTCTCCTTAGAAATGCGTTTTTATCTATCAGCTCACACATTAGTAGTCTTCACTTTACACCTAGAAGAGACAAGTTAAATCAGATAGTCAAACGCTGCCACAAATCCCAGTATTTCAATCAGAAATGAAACAAGGAAAGGGAGTGAATAAACCGAAAAAGTTCGAATCCGACAGTAAATGCAAAATATATTGCATCACAAAAAATTATTGCTTCATCAAATGCTGCCAATAAAAGAATAGTTTTTTGTCTGCAAAACAGGGTAAAAAAGGGCAAATTTTTTTCCAGTGAAAGAAAGTTTGTCAACGTGGCAGATAAATTAGAAATCAAGTCAGCCACCTACCTCATGACCACTAAGGTGGTACAGGATGGAATGAAACGTGGGAAACATCAAATGCCGTTTGTGGTAGAAACGGACCAGGAGAAGGGTGAAAGACAAACGGCTTACCACAGAAGATACCATTGATATCGATAAAATGGAGCACACTAGAGGCATTCATGAAAGATAGGGGTAAAATAACATTCCACTTGGTTCATACAAAAAAGAATGAAAAATCCCTCAATTCTTGGACATTGGATTAATCAGAACAGTTCTGCGGGGAGTCATTGTCCGAGTGAGGAATTAAATGCACTGAAACAACTTCGTTGGTACTGCCATCACCAGTGAATTCTAAAGCCGACTCAAAATTCTGGCTCTGGGCATTGCCGTTGTCCTCACGAATTCCAATAGCATTCGCGTTATTTGTTATCACATTATCCTCTACTCTCAACGCAACCAGCTGCTCCCTCCAGGATTTTAGCGACTGATTGAGGAGTACACATCTGAGCAAAATGTCGGGTGTATTCCTAGGATTAAGGGATGAAAGCTTTACCAATCCCCTATCCGTTAAATATCTCAAAAGATCACCTCTTCGCATCAGACGACTGATGACGCAGGCACACAGCGCGCCATCTACCTAAGAAACAAAACAACACTATTATTTTAATTTGTATTCATGATTATTTTTAAAAAAACCTTTAGTTGTTTTGGATATTATCATTATTTTTAGGATTATTTCAATGGATCTTCGAGCATTTTATGGCCCAAAGATTCTGTACTAGAGGCCTGCTGACGCGGAAGACTTATCATTGATGGTAATTAGTTCAAAGAGCAAAAGCACTTCTGCTTGTATCTGCACCTAAACGCAACTTGGCTAAGTTAATTGCCACTAATTCCTCAAATCCCTCTCGGCTCTTATCGCACACTCACCCATCTGGACCAGGGACTCGCGCGCAGCCAGGGTTGAACTGGGAGGCCCAAACTTAGAACCACCCCACCACAGCGGATACAATTGTGCAGTCAAACCTACACCACTCCAGCTTCCCCTCACGGTGCCGAGCCTATACCTCCACTCGGGAAATTGGCACGCACACTGCACGCCCCAGGAGCGACAACAAAGCAAACACTAACCCACCCAAAGAGTAGCCCCAAACCCAGTCGCCACCTCCCCCTCAAAGTCAAGACATGTAACGGCCAAAAGAATCCACAAGCCACCACTGCAACCGGGCCCCGACCGCCTAAATGGGCAAAAGAGCCGGAGCCTGGCCCCATAACCAGACTGAAGTCGAACCGAGAGAAGGCCCAGCCAACCCAAAAAAGAACTTAGTCCCCCATGCGATTTTTGACGAGACAAATCAAAAAGCTGATTTCATGGGAGTCTTTATTTGTATGCATAAAAACACTCAATTGTGTAAAGAAACTGATGATCAACTCACCTCACCGCACACATGACAAACAAACATCAATTCCCAAAACAGAGTAAAAAAAAGTAAGATATAAAGCAAGAAAATAAGCAAAAACACTGCGGAGAAAGGTAGTAAATACCCAAGAAGTCAACAAATTCAAAAAGAAAGTGATACAAAAGGGATAGCAAATATCAAGGGACCTAGCAACCCACCAACCAAGCCATAAAGTGAGTAAATGCAGATAAATATCCACCACTACACATTCCATCACAATACAGTCTCGCTTCAAATAAAAGCGTACCTACACAAGGCAGCAAAATGAGGGCCACAATCCAAACACGACTCAATAAGTCACATTCAAAGCGTATTTACCCGCAATCCCGCACTCCACACGCCGTCGGCAAAGGACCGCCTCCTCCTCCAACCGACCAGAGAAGACAATGCACCACTGACCACCTCCTCCTGCATAACCACAAACGCAATCGCATAGCAATGCCATATACTCACAACACTCACTCAAACATTCATTCACTCACCTGCCCACCCACCCATCCAACCATCCATCCACCCACCCTCTAACTCCAACTCTTTCACCATTTAAACAGAACAAAACAAAGTAAGGTGCATTTCACATTCTACATCAGCATAGTAACAAAAATAATACCAACTGTAGTGCAAATCACAATCGTAGTCATCTCTTAAGGCACACTACAGACCCAAAAATGTCACGCCTCTTTGTGCGCGTACACGACTACGTATGTACAAAAGACAGAATGCATAAGAGCAACACGTCTCTTACCAGGGCCCATCATGGACGCCTCTCCTGTCTCCTCACAGCCACTGGTTTCGCGAGGGGAGAGAATCACGCCCGGCCAGACCAGACCAAATCAGATCAGCTCAGACCAGACCAAGGTAGGCCAGGCCAGGTCGCACAACACCAGGCCAAGGGTCTGGTCGCCTTCAACAAACCACATTACAATCAATGTCATTTACAAATATGTACAAACACTTCTTATGTACAATTCAAATGGCAGCTCCTTCTCATTCTCACTCTCTCTCTCTCTCTCCATCTCCATCTCCACCCGCCATCCTTCCTCCCTCACTCAAGTTACTGCCACTGCCACTAACACGTGTCTATCCCAGGCACAGCATAGCTGTACCTGTAGTCACCGTGACAATGGTAAAACGAATCTACTGTGCCATCGTCATTCTCTTCCTCCTTGCTATCATCAACACAGTTGTCGACGCACCCACCACCATTGTCGAGGGCTGCAAAGGCCGCCGCCAGCTCCGGATTATGCACTTGGATTTCGTGCAGCTCCTCACAATCCTCGAAGTCGTCCTCTTCTTCCCACGCCCTGTAGAAACTCCGCCAATTTCGTCGCTCGAAACGCGCCTGTCTGCGAATCTCCCTCTGCTGCCGTCGCCACGTCTTCAACGATTGACGCAGCAGAGTCCGCCTCAACAATCTCCCCGACCCATCCGCACTGAGGCTAGAGAGCTTCCTCTTACCACATTGCACTAGGCCGCGCAGTACCTCACCATCACCCATCATCAGAGTCGACCTCATCGGTGCGGAATGAGCGTAAAACGTCTCCAACTGAACTCCGAGGTCAGCCCATACGCAGACGACTTAAACAAACCCATTTATCATTAAGTTTGTATGCTTCTTAGACAGTTTC